GACGGCGATCGGCGGTTGCTGGTTGGCTCCCAGCGTCTGTAACAAATTTTTCAAAATCATCTGTAGAAGTTCTCAGAAATTCAAATCAGACTTTAGATTTTACCTTCAATGACCTTAAGGTCAAAAAGGTCTTTTTTCAAATTGCTTCAAATTTTCTAAATCATCTACAAGTTCTCGGAAGTTCAAATCTGACTTTAGATTAGAGATTTGACCTTCAATGACCTTTTCAAGGTCAAACAACGTTCAAGAAAGTCTTTTTTCAGTTTGCTTCAAATTTTTTAAAATCATCTACAAAATCTCAGAAATTCAAATTTGAGTTTTAGATTCAAGACTTGACCTTCACTGACCTTATAAAGGTAAAAAGATCAAAAAGGTATATTTCAACTTGCTTCAAATTGACCATTTATTTCAAAATCAGCTACAAGTTCTCAGAAGTCCAAATCTGACTAAGATTGAACTCATAATATTGTGAGCAACTAAGTGGTGACATTTTGTCATGTTAATGCCTTGTTCTTCATTGAAGTATAAATGAACTAATCATTCTCCGTAAAAGAACCCTAGATTGACGCAGCTCTTCATCGTGCCTCCAACCGAGATGCTCTAACGTAAAGCATCAAAATGAGAAATGTTTTATTTTGTATAACAGTGCAGTTCCAATTTATGCTTACTAGGCTATATTTGAAATCTACATAAATCATGTTAACTTCATGCACTATAAATGAATTCACCATTATTTCATTCATCAAACACTAAATCACTATTACTTGTGAAAACAATGAAGAAGATGCAACCATAATTCAGAAAGTTGTTTCACATGTAGAGATAGAGGAAGGGTAGGCTTTTGACGTACCAAGACCCCCGTCTTCATGTAGGGGGAACACAATTAAATGCTATAACATGCGTTTCCCATACAAATGATCTTCCTCTTAGAAAAATCAAAATTTGTGGCCATGTTTTGCTATCATCCCATCATACAGAAGTATGTTTTGTGTCAGTCAAAAAATTTTGAATCAAAACTCCAAAAATCAAAGTATCTCACCTTTCGAATGCGCCATCTTTAGAAAATGTCAAGAATTGTCATTTTGATTTTGACAGTTTGAGGGAGGTCAAAAAGCTCAGATTTTTTAAAGAAAGTGTACCATATATCATATCAAATCATTGTAAGAGTTGATCCATATATATCTTTTTCATTCATACGAAAATCGAAACACCGCTGATACTGAGGATTTACAATGCTCATCATTAATTCATGCTAAGTAATGGCATTTCCATTTGTACATTTAAATCGAAATAATCAACATTCCTTTGAGGAAGCGCTCCACGTTCATGATCGATTACATTAGACCAATTTATCAATTCTATCTAGCTATGTCAAGGATCCTAATGGCCAACGTTGGCAAATCACAAATTAATATATTTTATTAGTGTGAGAAAGTTTTGATTATTTCATTCATAATGAGTTGTGGAATTCCCATTCGTCAATTCTAAAATAGTTAAGATTCTTTTGTGAGTGCGCTTCACGTTGATCATGACCAATTGCATTCAATTAAGATATGTCAAAGGTCTATGTCCAAGGTTGGCAAATCATAAATTGATATACTTATCAATGCAATAAAGTTTTTATTACTATTTGTCAATCTAAAATTAGCATTATTTTTTAGATAGATTTTGATAAGAGACATTCCAATGACATCGATTCATCATTTATATCTATCTTCTGTATGTCCACGGTACTAAGCGGTACTAAGCAATTATAAAGGAGGAGGGAAGTTAGTGCAACAGATTTCGGATAGTCATATGTTGGATTTTGGCTATTCTCTGAGGATATAAACATGCATATGTTAGATACATTACCACCAGGAAAAGCACTCATAGAGATGATGAAATAATTTTGACTCTGAGACAGGGGAGGTGCAAACAACCCACCCACATGTTATTTCTGAAATGTCGTTTTGATTTTCAACCCCTTCCACCCCTGCTTTTTTAATTTTTGTTGCATCAATATGCTGTGTTTTGACACAAAATTAACCACTTTTAAGGAATAAGGAATTCCTACAGGGGTTTTAAAGAAATCCATTATGGATGACCAAAATTAGCTGAAAGCGATGGATTGCATAAATTTTCCCTATGAGAAAATAACATGGGAAATATTGTTTCCCACTTTTTCTTTTTTTTTATTATTTATTTATTTCATTGATATAATTTAAAATACAATTACAATAGCATCCCACTTTTTCTCAAAGGAATCACTTATTCCTTTAAAGTGTCTCACATATTCGATCAAAACTTGCCATGCAAACATGTTCGTCTACTTTACTGGCCCCCTTGCTGTAACAAGGAACACAAAACACATTAAAACGTAAACATAAACCTAAAACTATATAAACTATATAAACATAGTCACTTCACTATGAAAGTGAGGGGTGTAAGCAAATGTGTATTAGCAGAATACGCTGTGTACATGGACTAACTCAATATCAGTGGTCATTTACTGTGTCAACTTAGTAACCCTTGCATATCGTGCTCACTCAAGTATTGAATACTTTTTTATGATCTAAATGTCTGTGGTTTATAAAAAAACTAGAATGCGGGAAGAAAGAGCAATGGTGACAAAATGCAGACAGAATTTTCCGTAAGGGTTTCAAACATTTCTGGACACAATCATACATGTACTTCACGTGTACTGTTATTTTTAGAGCTGTATTTATAGATATAATTTCACGTATTAAAATCATATTTTCCAGCAATGACTTCAAATTCGGAACCACCCCATATCACATTTTCTTCAATAACTCCAAACATGTGTAAACATTGACCATGTGCATGTAAATTCAGATTTCACGAGCTCTTTCTGATTCGAGTACCTCATACACCCCTGCATGGATTTGGGGTTGGATTTGCCTTTTATACGTGAGCCGATACATATCGCAAACGCTGATTGGATAACGATTGCGCGAATCTTTAAAGGGGTTAACTGTGAGTCAAAACGCAATTTATTTATGCAAGAAAAAATATAAAAACCGGAGTGGAAGGGGTTAAAAATCAGGAAAACATTTCAGAAAAATCATGTGAGTGGGTTGTTTGCACTTACCCTGTGTCAAAGTCGAAATTATTTTATCATCTCTAAAAGTGCTTTTCCTGGAGGTAATGCATAGGCCTAACATATGCATCTGTTTAAATCCTCAGAAAGTAGCCAAAATCCAACATATGACTGTCCGAAATCTGTTGCGCTAATCTCCCTCCTACTTTTGCGATCTACCCGTTCGAGTGGATCACCTAGGGTCACTCACACCAGCCCCCATGGCAGCAGTCCCCATAAACTGCTCAATACCTGTATATTGATCGATTCGCCAAGGGTCATAGTACCCTTTATGTGCCTTAAAATGCAAAATACTAAGATATTGACATTTGACCTTGAGATGACCTTGACCAACATAACGTTGATCTTGACTTCAGATAAACTAAACATCGGTCGCCAAGGGTCACAGCAGCCCCAAGGTCCTTAAAACGCCAAATACTTAGATATTGACCTTTGACCTTGAGATGACCTTGACCTATAAACATTGACCTTGGGCTCAAGTCAACATCATTGGTCGCCTAGGGTCACGGCAGCCCCAATTTTGACCTATGAATGACCTTGACCTCGGGCCACCTAATCATGGGTCGTAGAGAGTTACATGTCAGCACAGGCCAGTGGTTTTAAAAAGCGAAATACCTACCTAGATATTGATATTTTACCTTGGAATAACCTTGACCTCTGACCTTTGTAGAATGCCCACCGACCCAATTATTATGTTGACCAAGTACGGTATGAGGGCCCAAGGTCAAACGGTCTAGGTGGAGATGTCCGAACAGACATACGTAATGACAAACAGACCACCGTGTTGTTTAGTAAGATGATTTCATCAACGTGTTTACTTCTTCATGAGACGACAAAGCTATTGCTAATGATATGAATTCCACAGTTTTTCTAAAACTCAATTTAATTTCTAAGTACTATCCATATTGGAGTCTACTAGGGATAGATCTGGGACATTTTGATATATCACAGAAACATTGATAGGTTGGCTTACTTGATGATGTCATAGGTTGTATTTTGAATTAGCAATAAGTCCTGTTTTCACCGCCAAATCTCTACTAATACAACTAATGACATCATCAAGCCAATATAATCATATACTGATATATTACATGGTGGCAATATTTACCGGAACGATATATTGTAAATTACTCTAAAACATTGGAAAATGCCAAGTTGTTATCTTATTGCTCTCAATAATGATGAGCAGCATTGTGATAAAAAGAACTATTAATTTAGTGGAGTACTCAGTTTTAGAATGTGTTTAACTATTTTTATTACATGATATAAAAATCAGTTATGTTTCTGAATGACGATGAAGCCATTCTAATCAAATGCTTACTGGGCAGTCGCAGTGTCATAATTGATACTTGTCCTTTAGATCATGAAGACTGGCACCATATTTCATAATTGTGTTACTGACAGTGTGAAAGAACAAAATAACAATATATCTGCATATTAAACTAGATACGATCATAAAAGAGCTTCAGTTGAACTTATTTACAACTGATTTTATATCAGTAGTTAATTTTTATGAAGAATAAATGTAATGAAGAAAGCGTTACTCCCATTAAAACAAAGGTTTATTGACTAATTAATACAATTCTAATTGTTATTTGCAGATCTACGTGGAATCATTGCAAGAATATCATGTTTTGAATTGAAATTGTGTTCTTTCTTTTATAATAAATCGGAATGAAGGTTAAATATCTCTTTATCGAAGTTATTTAGTATTTTAATGAGTTAAATTATTGTCTGAGTAGCAGACATGAAGATCAACATTCATAGAAGGACAATGAAACGGATATATAATGGTAATTATAACGATTGTTTCATCATCTTTCTGTTTATATATGATAAGTTAATTAGACGATAAATGATGTGTTATATTTGTACCTTTATCCAATGTATTTAAGTTTAGTTGTTCCTTCCTTCGCTCTTCGTCGTCAGTTGGTCCTCTAAAAGGTGAGTGTCGATTACAACAAATACTTCAGTGACTAAGAATCACTTTAATTATACAGAAAATATGTTCATACAGTATTGAGACTAATAGTGTTACAATAGTTACAATATTGAGATACCTAAAGACGTCGTGTTTATGTCGATATGAATTTGTTCCAATGAGGTTCGGATGTTTCATTTCATTCCGAACATATGATACCAAGAACAAAAGAAGTGTCTGATCTGATGTGTTTTCGAAAACAATATAGAGAAATGAGTATATATATTTTTCAAATTATATCGTTACCATTCAAAAGATGTCCATTAAGTTGACGACGGGTAAAATTTTCAGAATTTTTTCATGACTGGTTTATAGCATTCTGATTTATCAGAGTCCCTCTTTACCTAACGCTTTTGAGAGACTCTGATATATCATGAGGCAGAACATGTTCCTAGCCAGTGCATTCTCCAAGTAAATTAGTGTATATGGAGGAATAAATTAGTGCCTAAAAATGCACCGTCCTGTTTTCCCCTTTGTAAACTTTAATTCAATGAATTCATTATGTGGAAAACTTTTATTTATCTTGATGGTTCTTGTTTTTATATTGAAAATTAATAACTATGATAATGCTGACATACTTCTTTTTTCTTATTGTTTTCCAATTTAGAATTTTAAACAATAATTATCATGCAAATGTCAACACTTGGATTATTTGGGAGGGAATTGTGTTTGGTCACACTCATTAGGCTTTGTCTGCTTATATAATCATGCAACTGCAGGTAATGCCTTCCCATGATACTCATGGTCAATAGAACTCTGTAAATAATTTAATTGGTCCGTACATTTTAGGGTTAAAGGAAACATTTATTACAGTCAGTAACCCACAGTCTGAACTATTCCAAAAGGATAGTAAAGGCTGTGGATCCCACAATGGGTTTATAGTGAAACGTGTGTTCAAAAAGCTCACCATATCGATATTAATCCTTTAGGGTTCAATTTTTGCATTACAAGCTTTGTTTTCATGATTACGACACGACGGTTGTTGTCATTGTTTGTATCATTTGTGTTTAGAATGAAAGCTTCATTGCTCCTTGGTATTGTACTCCTTGCATCACAGGAGGTGCATGTACTATCCCAGCCGCCTGGTGGGATAGAGGGACTCCCAGATGTGATAGGACAAGAAGGTATTTATTATGAAAAAGATATGCAATATACATGGGGGTCAGAAAATGGGAGCCATGTCACTATTTTCCTCAAATCGTTGTCATTTTAGGAAATTACTCCCTGATATCTGGGACATTTGTACATCGTTCAATCTCCAACCAACTTGTTCTATCTATTTACGATCGGGCTGAAAGTCACAATGTTACAGCACTTTAATAACATGCTCCAGGTGGCAACTATCGCGCTGTAGACAAACCTGCCCACGTCATTTTTTATCTGCCATACCTAGAATATATTGTTTAAGTGCAGCATTTCAGTATTTTAATCAACCAGCATAATGTGTTAAATGTATATATAGGATAATGGACTTTTCAGAATATTATCGTTGTATCTTTAATATGATAGGCACAATGTCGAGTAAAATTTTACATTATCAAAATATAATCTAATATAACTATTGCATAATCTCATTTTCTTCATTGTAGCGTGTTTAGACTTGGTGTTCATGTTCGACATATCGTGCTCTGTCAGTGAGGCAAACCAACTCAAAGCTGTTGAATTTAGCAAGCGTCTGATAGAAGAAATCAGAATGAGAGAGGTATGCAATACTGTAACTTTTTAAGTAACTGATGCAATTTATGTCAACATTGTCACATTTGAAATCAGAATGGCCTGAAGAGGGATCACACCAGACTGTAAGTTTAAGTATCTTTGCTTTTTATTTAGAAACCCGAAGGATTTAGTGTTAAATTAGCGGCAGCACTTTTTGAAGGTGATGTAAACAATGCATTCTATCTGAATGCAGCTAACAGTCGAGCTGAAATGCTTGAACTACTCGACACTCTCCCCGAGCTTATAGAATCGACGTCCATTCAATGTGACACCATGACCCAGGAGGGAGTTAAGGCTCTGTACGAAACATATTTCACGGAAGCAAACGGAGACAGGAAGCAATTATACAGGGATCAGGAACTATACCAGAACGTCGCCATATTTTTCACGGACGCAAGGACCCATCCAAGAAAGTATGCATTGGATGGAAGGGCTCTTGACAAATATTTGAAGAGAGCCGCGGAAGCTAGAATTACGAACTATGTCGTATTGCTTGATAATAAGTAAGTAGTCCTACGTCGATGAAAAATCCGTGACAACGTATACACAAAATGTGATTTTTTAAAAAACCTTTGAAAACTAGGAAACCAGTTAGACTCTTAATGTCAAAATAAAAAAAATGTATAAAATCACGCGTGTTAGATGAAAAATTACACTTGACATCACCCAAGATGCCATTTATAAGCCATTATAGATGAACTCTCCCGCGCACCATCTTTTTGCGCAGTTTCCATTATCTACATGTATTTATCTGAATAGACATCGATATGATGAATTTATTGACCTAATCATATCTAACACCTTGATCCATCTTGATGTAGAATAGCAAGGCGACCTTTCACATATCCATTTAAGAATGCTTGTGTATTGTATACGTGTATTCTTTTACAATATTTTAATTGGGACATTTGCATAGACTGGCATGTTCTGCCTTTGCCTTTACACCGTTGGTTATTTTCTTAAACAATATTTGTCTATAAACAGTCGCACGGAAGAAGATGCCAACGGGAACGAAGTGACAAAGCCACCTCTAGATCATCTGAAGATAACAGACAATGAGCCAAAAAGACTGTTTGATATTAGAACTGGTAAAGATGTGGAAGCAGAGGTGACAAAATTGGCAAAAACTCTTAACGAAGAATATGTCTGCCAGACAAGTGTCGACAGAGGTACTTTACTACTACTACCATCTATAGTATATGGTTTAACACAGTTCAATTTATTTACTAAACTTACTATTTGTCTCATGATAATATGGTCCTTTTTATCTGGAAATGATTTTAAAATATACTGAACACTCTACCACATCGATGACGATCTATACTATTTCATATTTGACTACTAGGCATGACTAATATCAGTGTAAAATTGTTGAATATAATTCTGACAACTGTATATTTTCATTTAAACCCATAGTGTCGTCGGTTAATCGAATTTTAAGCTACGTTCACACCAACGGCGAATGCCACGCTTTAAATCGGTGAGCAAAGCGCCGTCATTTTTGTCATTTTTGTTCATACCAACGGCGCTTTGATGGCGCTTTAAAGCGGCTTGTAAAGCGGCACCAAAGCGTAACAAAGCTTGATTAAAGCGTCTGGGTCGTAATAGGTCGTAGAAAAGCTCGGAGTAAAGCGGGATATTCGGCAAGAGCGCCAAAAAATTTTAAACTGCTTAAAAATTTTGGGCGCTCTGTTACAAATTGATTAAAGCACCGAGAGCGTATCAAAGCTTAACAAACCGTAACAAAGCTCAGAAAAGCTTGATTTAAAGCGTAGGAAAGCTTAACATAGCTCTGATAGGTTCCTCACGCTTTGATCCCGCTTTGACCAGGCTTTGTTACGCTTGAAATCACGCTTTGGTAAGCTTTGATAAGCATTATTACGCTTTGATTCGATAATGACGCTTTAAATCAGGCTCTGATACGATTGCCAAGCTCTGTTGTGCATTGTTACGCTCTGTTAAGCTCTGTCACGCATTTGAAAATGTCGACATCGCCGATTTCATGCCGCTTTTGATCCAATGACTATATAAAGATGCAGTAGATTCATAAAACCATTGCATCTTTGACTCGAGAACATGATGGCAGAACAACAAGATCCATAAATTCCAGATGGACCAGAGCATGACCTATCTGAAGGAACATGATGTTTGTCGCACGGCGTGATATAGCGTGTGGAAACTTGCCAAGTGTAACAAAGCCTAGCAATGCGTTTTAATCCTTGATTAAAGCGTCTCAATTCGTCGGAAAGCTTGAGAGTCCTTCATGAAAGTGTAGCAAAGAGTGTCAGATATTGATGAAAGCGTCTGACCTCGTGTCAGATCTTCATGCCAGATCGTAGCAAATCTTGAGACATCTTAACGAAGCGTATCAAGTGGTAACAGACAGTGAAGAGACTGGGGTCCCCGCTTTGAACCAAGCTCTGTAAAGCTTTCCTACGCTTTGGGTCAACCTTTGCTGAGCTTTGTTACGGTTTGTTAAGCTCTCGGCGCTTTTATCAATTCGTAACTGAGCGCCCAAAATTGTTAAACAGTTTAAAAAATGTTGGCGCTCTTGCCGATTATCCCGCTTTTCTACGAGCCTTTCTACGACCTATTACGACCCTAACACTTTAATCAAGCTTTGTTACGCTTTGGTGCCGCTTTACAAGCCGCTTTAAAGCGCCATCAAAGCGCCGTTGGTGCGAACGTAGCTTGAACAGTTTTAATTTTTGCGCTCTTGCCGAATATTCCGCTTTACTCCGAGCTTTTCTACTACCTATTACGAACCCGACGCTTTAATCAAGCTTTGTTACGCTTTGGTGCCGCTTTACAAGCCGCTTTAAAGCGCCATCAAAGCGCCATTGGTGTGAACGTAGCTTTAGAAAAAATCGAAAGAGATCTCCCTCAGATATATTTTTGAGATATGTGCATTATTTAAAAATTATTGCCAATTTCTAATTTATTGGACTTTTGTGTATGTGAACGCTTTGTGGGTGACATAATGATGTTATTCTTATAGCTTGTGCCGACATTACATTTGCTTTTGATGTATCGTGCAGTATAGACAAGGATATCAAGGAGCTTTACAGATATGTGGCGAGTCAAACGTACAATGAACTGATCAACAGCGCCGGAGACATTCTCGTTTCAGCAATTGTGTTTGATGTCACGTCCCGCTCTCAGTTCTATTTTGACACATATGGTAACCGGGAAGTCAACATAAGTAAAATAGACAACGCCCTTAGAAACCTAGCCCTAGAAGAAGTAAAGTGTCGCACCATAACGGAGAAACTTTTTGATGAAGTGAATCGTAAGCATTTAGGAAAACATGGAGATCGAGATGATATCCAAAATATTCTAGTATTATTCTACGATGGTATGACGTCACCGTTGAGGCGCAGAAAAGAGACCATTGCAAAAGCTTTGGAACTGAAGAAAAATGGTGTTGATATTCATCTGGTTAGACTAGAAAACAATAGAGGCAAAGATGGAGACGAGGAATTCCAAGAGATAGCAAGTCCAGATCGATTGTTTCCGTTAGAATCTGGAAATGCACTCACTGATGAAAACAAAGACGCAGTCGTGTTAGAGCTTTTTGATAAACTTCGTCTATATGCTTGTGAAGATCAGGTTTAATAAATTGTCATAATTCAATGTTGAAAGTGTGTTCACTTATGTGTTCAATTAGTGTTCACTGTCGCATTATTATAGGAATGTCTCAACAATTTAAGCTTAAGCTAGACATTGCTCAATAATAAATTGTGAAAGATATTGAAGCTTCGAGCTTTGTTGTTTAAATAGCTCTGTGGGTTCTTCATAAAATAATATGGATTGGTCTTGTAATGTAAAAAAGACAAGATTAACACAGAATTAATATACTCATAAAACTATACTTTATTCCAAGTAAAAGACTAAACATGTACAATTACACTCTTCAGTATAAAATAAAACTGTTCAAAGATAAAGAAAGAATGAAAATGAGATTAATAAGATGAAAAGAAATGATGTGTGATGTTCCCCCCGATCTAACTCTCTACTGAATGAAGCCCAAAATTTCTCTTAAATACCCCCAAGTTATAGGAAATGAAAGGCAATCCCTTACCCTACAAAACCTATAAGAAACCCATTGAAAGATGGCAGCACAATACGGTGAATGAACATGAAAAATGCTATACAACCCCCACCCAAATAAAATGACAATTCTCCTGACATTGTACGTACTAAAAAAAACTGAAATACGCAAAATCTAAATAAATGTATATGCTATTTTAACAATGTCCTATATGAATGTTTACTAACACAGTGCCGCATACATAGTTCGTGTATAATCCATATCCATATCCAATATTCATATGAAATATCCACGCAGAGTTCGTGCAAATATCCTTTAAACTGCTTCATACGTAGTTCCTGTTGATAAACGTCGTTATAATAAACCATAAAAAGTTCCGATTTTATAATCCGCGTATCTAGTCCTGGATCCAATGCGATGCTGTAATACGTGCATCTAGTCCACGATGTAATGGTTTCGAATCCAAAATATGCACCGTCTTAGTAGTCGAAATAATATCCATAATCCGTATATCACATGCACGTCCGCATCGTGTCCATTATCGAATATGTCCGTATCCTCGCTGAAGAATCCATAATAAAATTTCCATTTCCTTGTAGCAGTGTTCATAATAAACGTTTTCGTTGGAGAAAAGAATTGTTCATAATAACAGGAGATCGTACATCTTCAGCTCCTTCATCAGTTGTCGAAATCCTCTGTGGCTCCACTCCATCCGAAATCCGCGTCGTCTGCATCTCCATAAGACATAGGCATCGCCTTCACAGGTCATCTTCATCGCTTCTTCACGGTTAGGTAGTCGTCATCTACTTCAGTTCGTCATAGGAAATCGCTTACTGGGATCCCGGGCAATTAATTTTTTAATTCTCAAAAAGTTCTCCAAAAGTGTCTTTAAGAAACATTTTTTTATTAACATGTCTTTAACTTGCTTTTCTATATGACATAAACAAGTCTTCTTCGTGTTCTAAACTCTTCATGAATTTAATTTTCTTCAAGATATCAATTTCTCTTCATTGACAAGTAACTAGTCTTTCTATCTCTTCAACAAACAAACTTTTCACTTGACTTGTCTTTCATGACTGAGCGTTTTTCAACTCTTCAACTCTTCTAGCAACTCTTCAACTTCAACTCTTCATGAAATTATTTACATTTTCTCTCTATTCTTCAAAATGATCTCTGATTGTTACTTGTGAAACTTGTCTTTATCTTTAAAATGCACTGAGTGATTAGTCTTTTAAAATAAAAGATGCAAATTGCTTACGAACAGTAAGAAAGAATATAAATATGGCTTAACATGTTTTCCATAATAGGCAGGACAAATTCCAAAAAGTAATAACACAATTATACATATCTAGCGATTTAACATTAACATCAATAATGCAACATGGGTTTCAGACTCTGCCAAGATTACTAAAACCTTTTCATCAGGTCGCCCCCTCTTGCTAGGACTTTGTTTCCGAAAGTAAATCAGTAACACCTCAGTGCACAATAGCATTTTACTTTGGATTTTCCAAAGAATTCTATATTTTCATACTTAGCGCTATGTATTGCACAAATACAAACAAATTGCTATATTCAAATATAAATGACTAATCTCTCATGTATTCATTTCACTAAACCTGATGATTGATGGCTGTCATAACAAAATCTCGTTGTAGGATCCACAGTTTGTACTTTCTTACAAAACTGAGAAAACCACTTGCCTGGGCTTCAATTCAATTCTCTATTGAACCCTAAATTTGACAATTTATGATCGTCATCATAACATTATCCAGTTGCCGCTCGGGAAATAACCATAATATTTCGAGCATGTACATGGCAAAATCTCATATAACAATTAGTGTGGAATAAAACAATAAAAAACAAAATCAGAAACTTAAAGACAAGATATCCCAAAGATAACATTATCCCGTCCAGCAGGAATATGTTTCTTGATAGACTAAAATCATCATAATCTTATGATGCAATTTCCACAATACACAAACAGAAAAACATGCGATATACTTTTATGCTTTTCGCATCCTGAAAAGATACAACTTGCTCACTGTAAGTAGTATTTAAAATTATTAGCCATTTGATTCCTCTTTAAGTCATAGCAAAATTATTCTCAAACCCTGGTTGGCCTAACCCAAATTTAAAAACAAAACTGCACCAATTCTGTCTAATACCGTATGAGTCCAACTAATGTTACTGAGTGTTAGTGCACGTGGGCTAACTGATACCTATGATTCAACTTAGATGCGATATCCAAGGATAAATACCAGTTATTCTACTCCACTGCTTTACATGTGAATCATTTGTTACCTATGATTCAACTTAGATGCAATATCCAAGAATAAGTAACAACCACACAACCTCATCTAAAACAACATTGAACTCTTCTTCTAGCTAACTTATCAACTTAGATGCAATATCCAAGAACACATGACAAGAAGCCTAGTTCAAATCTCATAACTTAACAACAATGAATTCTCTTCGTCTAGCTAACTTATCAACTTAGATGCAATATCCAAGAACACATGACAAAAAGCCGACTTTACATCTCATCATTTAAGTACCATATTAAAATGCCAGGCCTTACTACACGAATGGAATATGAAATTCCATCATAATTTTCTATAACAAACCACCAGTCTCAAACTACCCCCTCCATTTTCATGGAATTTCATAGCTCTTAATAAAACTAGATAAAACGATCCCTATGTGTATTTTCGACAAGCACACGTTTAATTACTGTAAAACATAAATTGTCTTCAGAAATCTCATTTTAAAAGTTACTTTTTCAATCTTCTCATTATCTTAAATGCTTACTTCTTATTGTTCACTCTTAATTGTTTACTTCTAATTACTTATTTCTAATTGTTTACTTCTTATTGTTACTTCTAATTGTTTACTTCTAATTTTTTAATTCTAATCGTTTACTCTTTATTTTTACTTCTAATTGCTACTTCTAATTGTTCGGGCAATCACATATTACAAAAATGACAAATCTCATTCATCCATTCAGCGACACAAAACAAACATGCATTCTTGCCAAATACGGATGTTTGACTCTTTCTATGCATAATTAATAAAGAAAAATGTTCTTCAATACTACAAAATGGTCCTGTTTTCATACTTGAAAGGCTTTACCTCCCCTTAACAATTTCTTTTGCAAGTCATGTTTTCATCCACTAGCCATTAAAATATACCTATGTGCAATTCCATTGAGAGTTTGAAATAAAGGCTTTATCAAAATATAAAAATATCTCATGTTTGCAGCAGCGTATGCGTTATTAACTTTTACTTAACCCTGTATTATGTACCTTTTCGCTTTTAAATAATCACGAGATAAACAATGCTCATGCAGCACACATTTAACTAACTTACTACTAACCGACTATCTACCTAACTACCTAACTAACCAACTAGCTAACTAAATATGTTCTCTTTATAGTTACTTATACCAGAGACATATAAAATGTTTTATAGGTCTCTGCTTATACACACTACATGTATATACATTCTTTGACTAAATAATCAATTAATCCCATCCATATCTTGTAGGCGCTCTTCTATTTCTTGCATTTCAATATTGAAGTAAGACTACGCCTTAATAAACCATCCGACGATTTCTTTTCTTCATTTTGATTTTCAGGTGAAACCGTGATTTTGCCATCTGTGTCTTTCTCGTCATGGAGACTTACATTTTTATCTGACCAAATCAAATCAAAGTTTTCATTATTTTCGTCTTTCTCATCTTCATTTTCCCCGACGGCACCTAACACGACAGAACACCCATTTTCACATTGATCCTTCCCCTCCATATTCACAAGGTATCAACTTCTATTTAATGAATGAGCTATAATCTATACGTAATATCAAAACACAAACAGAATAAAGTACGCTTTTATCATCAATACAGGGATTTTTACAAAATACAAAGACCAAAAACTAGATCTCGAACATTCAAATCAAATATTCTCAATTCATAATTTCGACTAACACCAATTCGGGACAATCCTAACACTATAGCCACAGCCAAACAAATAGATACGCGCTCGATTTTGCCAATTTTAAAGCAATGCGTCTTAGCATGCACAATTGCAGAAATAAAGGATAGAAAGAAAGTAAAAGAAAGTGTTTTTGAAGTAACTAAAACAGGAGCCTGTTACATGAGCTTCTTGTTGATAGCAAATACAGAAATTAGTACAACGCTGAAATGCAAGCGTTTTCGTATTTCAATTTTAAAAGTAACTACAACGGGAGCCCGTCTTCATTACTAAATGATGATTCCCTTAACAATAGCACGTGTAAACATCAAATATTCTTGACTCTTTGTCTTCTTTTTATTCACAAGATCAAGGTAAAGTTACGCATAAATTAACTGAGCGTACACAAAGGCAAGATCATTATCAGTCTTTTAAGTGAAGACCGTCAACTTAAATGCATGCATAAACAAACATTGTGCATAAAGACAAAGTTAATACTTAATAGTACAGTGAAGACAAATACTCTTCATTCAAAGTAAACTGAATATGAAGACAAAATCCTAAAGAAAGAGTTGAAGAGAACTAATCTTCACTCTTCAGTATAGAATGAACCTAACTTAAAAGAAA